CAAACAGAGCTGTGTGCCTCTAAGGTTTCAGTCAGAGAGAGAGGCCCAGACTTTGAACCTGAAATCTTTTCGAGAGCCAACTCCAAAGCACACACGTTTTTTGTTAGAGGGAATCCTGTTCGTTTGAGAGATGTGACAACAACTCTCAGCTCAAGAGGATTTTTTTTTTTACATTTGTTTTAAAGCTCCTTCGTGGAAGTTCACAAAATGGATATAATTTACCTGAGATAAACAGTCACTTGGGTACCTTTTGAAACTATATATGAGGTACCATATTAGTACTTATTAGTTACATTACCATAGCAGCCAGATGTCCTAGCCAAGCTCAAGGCTCCATTGTCCAAGGCGCTGAGCGTTTTAGGGTATACCTCCAAAGCGAAGTTATTCTGCCACTACAGTAACTATTCCTGATTAATTCCATGTGTGGGTGACGCTAATTCAAAAGTCACTTTTATTCTGGAAAAAAAAACATCCTCCCATGGAGGTAGAAATACTTTGTGAGGTTTTTTTTTAGCACATATGTGTACATGCAAATCAATCTGGATTAAGGTAAAATGTGGACTCCAAACGCACTAAGGGCTTAGAACTAGTAGACCCATTTGACAGGCTGCAGAACTGAGGCCCAGAATAAATGAAATATTTATTTAAGGTCACACGGGGGTTCTGTAGCAGACTCGGGAATTTAATCTAGATAATCTGAGACCCAGTCCGATGTGCTCCCCACACAACCACCCTTGCTCTCTATACTCATTCGCTTTCCCAGTTCACTCAGTATTACTGCCTTTTTAACAGGCATTTTTCAGAGCATCCCAATCTATTGCTGTATGTTGTGTGACTTATCCTCAGACGGTAATGGCTCCATTTTCATCTTCAGGATTTGATAGCCTGCCTCGTGGTTCTGGTCCCCTGGCTTCAAGCCAGTCCAGGTCCTTTCAGTTGGGCTCTAAGAGCAGTTTGAAGATTTGTGAGTGGAACGACTTTGGCTCTCACTGCAGTTCTGCTTCTTGTGCCTATAACACCCCAGTGCCAAGTGGGTGTAAATTGCTAGCAGAGCAGAACCCATTCTGCACTGGGGTAAGTCACTGCACACAGTGTAGGTCAGGGATGGGCAATAATTTTCACAGAGGGGACACTTCATAAATTTTGGCACACGGTCACGGGCCGGCTCCACCCCTGGAAGGGGCGGGGCTGGCCAGAGTTGCGTAGGCCAGAGGCTTTGAATTAAAAACACAGCAAAGGGCTTGTGACTCCTGGCTGTGCCACTACCATGTTGCCTGCAGGTTTACTTAGGGAGGGGGTGGAATCTCCATCCCTAGAGGTTTTTAAATCCCAGCTTGACAAGGCCCTGGCTGGGGTAGTTTAGTTGGGGTTGGTCCTGCTTTGGGCAGGGGGCTGGACTCGATGACTCCTGAGGTCTCTTCCAGCCCTAGGCTTTTATGAGTCTGACTGTTGCAGCTATTTCCAGGGCTCACAGCTCCAGCCCCTGCTGCTGTGACTAGGAGCCGTGAGCCATTCAAATAGACTCCTGCTGCCTGAGCCACTGCCTGGAAATTCGGTGGCATTGGGCAGCAGGATATAAATAGAAAGTGGCCAGATGCAGGCCGCGGGCCGGATCAGAGTTAGGTGGGCCGGATTCAGCCCTCGGGCCACATCTAGCTCAGCCCTGGTGTAGGTCAATGGGGAGGCCAGCCTGAGTTTGCTCAGGTAGACAGAGTCTTCTCAGGCTCCCAAAGCAGGGCCGTGCTTAAGGGCTATGGCATTTGAGTGCTGGAAGGGTTTAGAGCATGGTAAGCTGTGAACCGTCAGACCTCGGGCGGGCCTCCTAGGCTAGGGGAGGCACAGCCTTCCCAAACTGCCTCACCGGGCCCTACCCATGGCCAGCCCTGTGCCGTGCTTGCGGGCCAGCTTTCCGGAGGCCCAGGCTGGGGGAGGCTGGGGCCGCACCGCCCGCTGGCTCTTGGGAGCTCTGGGGATGGGGGAGGCTGGGACTGCGCTACCCGCTGGCTCTCCAGGGCTGAGGGAGGCTAGGGCGTGCAACCATGGGGCAGGGAGGGGCCAGCAGCCACATTGTCTGGAGAGTGGGGCTGGGGTAGGAGCCAGCAGCCCATGGAGGGGGGGAGCATGGGCTCTGGTGGGTGGAGCTGGGGGGACTTGCCTCCCCAAGCCATGGGGTCACCCCCCACCCATGCTTCAGACCGACCTGCCCCAAACTGAATACTTGACACAACGGCTCAAGTCCCTTTTATTTGTGGACTCTAAGCCACGCGGTGGCAAAATCCGCAGCGTCTGTGTCTCCCTAACCTGGCTCGCTTTTCTCCACAGACAGACCAGCCGCGACGCCAGGATGCTCTCCGGCGCTGTCTCACTGCTGCTGCTTGTGGCTGGGGGGAGGATACGGGCAAGTGAAATACATGCAGCCCATGGTGAAAGGGCCCCTGGGGCCCCCATTCCGGGAAGGCAAAGGGCAGTATCTTGGTAAGGGGGCATTTTTACGCAAAGGGAGCCAGGGGCGGAGGGCTTGATTTGGGGATGTGGCCAATGGCAGAAATGGGGGCACCACTCTGGCGGCCTGATGTGTCTGGAGACCTGCAGCTGCTCCAAGGCAGGGAAAATTCACTCCTCGTTATCGGGCGCAGCCCAAGTCCAAAGGGTGCGGTTGGTCCCTAAGACCTGCAGATGGAAACACAGCGTGTTGACCATAGCAGGGCATTTTATAGCCTCTGCTACACCCACGGATGTGCCAGTGGGTTCCTCACCAGGCCCCTCTCGGCATAAACACAGGTGGGCCCAATTCAGCCAAGACCTTATGCCTGCACAGAAGCCCCAACGGAAGTCAATGAGCCTTAAGCATGTGCTTAGAGGCTTTGCTGACTTGAGGCCCTCAGTGGTCCTGACACCTGGACCAAGGCAGGCACTGTCCCACTCGGAGCCATGAGAGAGCATGTCAAGTGATTCACATCGACCAGGTGCTGACAGAACATCCCCGGAAACGGGTCTGTCAGGAACATCCCTGGAAACGGATCGTACCCGGGCTGGTTGTCTCCCAACAAAGAGGCAGTTTGGTTGGCAGGCTTGCAGCTTGTTTGAGCCCCCCAGCTGCTGCCTTCTGACCCACGTGGCCACCACCCTACCACCTGGACGTGCTGCCCAGGAGTGCAGCCAGGAGGGGACGTGACAGCATCAGCCAGTGCCGATGATGTCGCTGCTGCTGTGATATCACTCCTAGGAGGGACAGCCTTATAGGAAGTGCCACCAGACCAGGGCCTGGCAATGGGGGCCAGGGAGGACTCAAATGCACAAAGCTTGTGAGTCCAGTCCATCTTGGGAGCCGGGCTGAAGCCAGACAGGAGCAGAAGCCAGACAAGGCTCCTCTGGAGCTGTGGTTTGTTCCTTTGTCATGTTGCTGAAATCAGGCAGCTTCCATCACAAATGCCCCCTTTGGATCATCCGCCTTATCCCCTCTCAAATGTCATTTGTCCGTGGGCTCAGGAGCCTTGCTCCCTGCTAACCTCTGGCCTGGCCTCGAAATCTAACCGGACCACTGTACTGTCAGGCTGAGTCTACACTGGGAAATTACTTTGAAATAATAACGCCCCAAATAACTATTTCAAAATAGTAATAGAGATGCAGCCGTGTTAGTCTGGTCTAGCTGAAACAAAAGACAGGACTATGCAGCACTTTAAGGACTAACAAGATGATTTGTTAGGTGATGAGCTTTTGTGGGCCAGACCCACTTCCTCAGACCAAATCAAAGTGCTGCATAGTCCTGTCTTTTAGTCGAGGGAGTGTGTCCACATGAAGGGAGCCTGCCTCTGACTAATGTCGAGGCTTCCCTGCAGTGTGGTCACGCTATTTCGAAATAAAAGACAGGACTATGCAGCACTTTAAAGACTAAGAGTCCCAGGGAGCATTGGGCTGTGTCTACACTGGCATGAATTTCCGGAACTGCTTAAAACGGAATACTATTCCGTTTTCAGTTTTTCCGGAAAAGGAGCGTCTACATTGGCAGGCTGCTTTTCCGGAAATTCCCTTTTTCCAGAAAAGCGTCTGTGGCCAATGTAGATGCGCTTTTCCGGAAAAGAGCCCCGATCGCCATTTTCGCGATCAGCACTTTTTTCCGGAAAAGAAATCTGTGCTGTCTACACTGGCCCTTTTCCGGAACAGTGTTCCGGAATAAGGTGTTATGCCCGAGCGGGAGCAGAATAGTTTTTCCGGAATAGCGGCTGATTTTGTACAGTAGAGCATCGTTGCTTTTCCAGAAATTCAAGGGCCAGTGTAGACAGCTCGCAGCTTATTCCGGAAAAGCGGCTGATTTTCCGGAATAAGTGGCCCAGTGTAGACACAGCCC